GCACTGTGAAGCATTAAAAATATTCTTAAAAGAATCTAGATTGAGACTTTCCATCCTTCTGTATTCATTCAGATAATATTTTTTAAAACATTTATATTTGCTTCATTTTCTACAATTTTTTGGATAAAAGTTTTTCCCAGATTTTGTTTTTCCCCTAAAAAATACTAGTTTACAATTCTTGAATGAGGGTTTTCTGTCCATGACCCAAATACAGAATGTTAAAAATATTATACTGCAGAAATTATAAAAATCTCCATATGTGTACATGTTTATATGAAATAAAGACAGTTTAGCTCAGTTTTTACATCTAACCTGTTGAAATTTTCTCATGCTGAATATAGAGACGGGACTGATTTTACTGTATAAGTATTCCTGATAACAGCTTCTGGGTAGTAACTACGAGCTTTTACCACCATATTACTGCTATTGGTATTATTTCATTTTACTATAGGCAGTATATCAAAGGTCTCTCCTACTTTTATTCTCAGAACAAGCTTGTGAGTTTGAACCAAAGTCACTCCAGGAGTTCCCACCTGAAGAAAGTATCTGCTTTATAGCTATCCAAGTCCCAAACCAACACTTTAGCCACTGTTCCACTGCTTTTCCTTGATGGTAAAATTTTGCTTATCTCTGAACATACAAACTATAGTGAAAAGGATATAGTCTTGAACACAGACTGGAGTATTCCAGATTTAAATTATTGGGTGAGTCACTATTCTTCAATCTAACCCACTTCTGCTGTGACATTAAAATTGAATAATGTCAAGAATTTTGCACTGAATTTGTAGGAGAAATTTATACAGCTCTCCATATTAGTAGATTAAAACAGTTCATGTGGCAGACTATAAAGGCTCACACCACAACAGTAGACATTTTGTGAGAAGGCAAACAAGATTCCCCCCCTCCTTTCACCATACTCTCGAAATTCCATTTTTTTCTCACGTCACAAAGAAACAATCCACCTGGCTAAATTTATTACTCTTTTATTGAAGTACTGCTAACTCAGTGTCATGCATATAAAAAGTATATAAAACTATCCAACACTTCAAAAAAAAAAAAAATTCAACACACCTTCAAAATTTCTTCAGGAGAGGAACATTTTAAGTGTGAAAGATGAAAGCCCAAAAAAAGAGGAGGATTTTGATATTCCTGGATGCTTCAATTATAGATACCAAACAGAAAAGAGGGTTTTAACCTATGGTGAGGTCTTAAGCAGTAGGATTCAGCAAGTGCAGACAATTCTTACCTTTTGGTCTTAATCTTTTGGGTCACAGTTACAAGCCTTTCAAAGAAAAAACAAAACAAAAACAGGATACTTGGGGTAGATGCACAACTACAAGCCAGTGAAATTGTAGATGAGGATTCATGCAGCCTATCCTACTCAACACTGAAGCACTGTCATTTTAAAACAATTAAAATTTGCCAGTATCTTTTAAAGTCAATCCAAATACAGCTTGTAAAAATCTATGCTGAACACATATATGGCATTAATGAATATGGGTAACCCTTCTCTCTTGAAAATGTAGAACTTCAGCTGGGGGTTTAAAAAAGGAAAAATTGAGTTTTTAAGGCAGTACAATCCCAATTACTGTAACTTTTTGCCTAGTTTGATTTTCAGTCTAGAGAGATAATACCAACTTGTAATAGCTGTCCAAGCATATTGATAAGAAAACAAACTGATATCCCAAAAGTGCAAATTCATTGATAGTTGAGAGTGGTATGTCTGGAACAATATCTCTCCTATGGGATAATGGCCAGGCTCACAGTAGGGGTAGTGAGGCAGAAGATTCTGGTTGGCTGAACTACAGGAATTGAAATCCTCACTCTCCTAAGCCAAATAGGTAGGTCATAATTTCCCGTTTGTTTAAGTGAAAAGCATCCCTGACATCTTTAAGCCTAATTAAATCACCTTTTGTCAGAAGAAAGGAACAAAATAAGGCATAGGTTTAAAAAACCAAACAAGCTCTGCCAAGAGGCTTACAAGCATGTTATTTATTTTGTATTTTAAAGCATTAATTTGTTAGTGGACCAACCTAGAAACTTTTGTTTTTGATATGTGGTGAAAAGAGGGCTGCTTCTCCCAAAAGAATAATTGGTATTCGTTGTTAACTGCAGGTTCAAGCATAGGTTCCACCCTCTGGTGGAAGGGTGGAGTTGATAATTCTATTCCATTTGCTAAAGGTGGCAATAAAGATGTAATCTCAAAATCAGAAAGCTCAAAAGGAGCTTGCTTAAAAATAGAAGTATGTTTTCATAAATAACACTTCATCCTATAGTTCAAAAGCCTCTTTCTCCCAAAAGCTCATCAAGGATCAAATTAAGACTGTATCCCCCAGGACCTCTATAGTCCAAAAGCAGATGCCAATTAGCAACTCCGGAAGTTACCAGTCTGACAGGAAACAGCCGTGCTGTGGGAAACTTCCAATGAAATGACAGCAATATAACATCAAAAAAACTATGGAATACCAGTGCAAATCAAAACTCTGAGATGTAGATAAAGCCTCCTCTCCCCAAGATAGAACTGCATTACTACTATAATGAAGATGATTTTACGTGAATTGGATTCTCATACTGCACTCAGTTATTATTGTCATTTGTTAACTTTTGGCTAAGTGCAATATGAGAACTAAATTCTGGCTTAATGTAATATGTAAACCCAGCCCATTGTTATTCAGAAATGAATGGTAAAAAAATCTTAGTTTACAATTATGTACAAACCTAACCACTGACTTGAAATTATAATTCTTCTCAAATGATGGGACCGCTTTGTTTGAGTTATGACTGCTTCTCTACAAGTTCCATACAGTACTTCTCTGAAAGTTTTTCTATTAGGGTTTCTTCACACCTTTCTTCAGGAGGGCCATAAAATTATCACCATACAGCTAAATATTTACAGTATATGGATTTTCATTTGAGCATAAATAATGTAGAACTAAAGAATACCATCCACATTTCCACTTAAAGAAGAATGGGGACTTTCTAAATAACTTTGAACAATGAATACAGTAAGAAAACCGAAAAACCGAACCCCACTTGCTCTCATATATTTCAGCCATATATACTGTATTGTCTAAACCACCCAGAATTAAAAATGACAAATACATATCAGTTAAGCAGGGCCAATTTAACAAGAAATGCAATTTAATTCTGAGGTCAAAAAATAACTTACCTTTTTTTATCTATCCAAGAATGCATCACTACCAGAAATGGAGCCCCAGGAAATGGGTAAAAAGCAGGATGTTTTTGTGTGCTTGGTAAAATGCGCATGGCTTGCATGTGAAAAAACCGAACATGCATGCAAACATTTAAGCTTCGGCTATCTCACTGCCTGATGTTCTGTAGTTAAATCTCCAGGATCTTCCCACCCTGGCTGCTCTCATCCTCAGGACTGAGAGAGCCTCTCAGCACAAAGCTCTCAGCCTCTCTTTCAGATGCCTCTGACAGCCATTCTCTGACAAGTGAAAGCTCAAACTGCCAGCGGAGCAGTGTTTGGAAGGGAGGGAGGTAAAGAGATGAACGATTCTCACCATCTATCAACCTCAGAGCTATTCAGCAACCTGCCTGAATGCAGCCAACATTGGATTCTCCATGGTAACCAGAAAGTGGCAGTAGATGGGAAGAATGCAAAAAACACACACACACACACACCCCACTACACCAGAACTGGTCTGAGAAAAATAGGATATAAACATTTCAAAGGTCGGCTTATATCTTCAGCCAACATTTTTATCTGTATATCTTCTCCCTTCCTTGCAGAAAAAAAATATTATGGAAAAGGAGGAAAGACATTCTGTTCAGATACAGGAAAAAAGCAATTTCCTGCTTTGCTTACTTCTAATAAAAAGTGAGCTGTCTCTTCAATTATTATTGATTATGTCGAGTTTCTTTTAGGAATAATCTAAAAGGGAGAAAAATCCCTAATACTTAGCTCTATCTATGCTTTGTTGATTCTCAGTGAAGTTAATTTTACAGTATCCGTCTAATCTATGTTGTAAAAAATAAATGGCTAAGAATCATAAACTGATGGTCAGGCATTTTTGCTGTAGATGGGATTATTACTTTATAGGTTTTAATACCATATTATTTCACAGCTCTGTCACATGTTGATACTTTTCTTAAAAGATGCTGCGCAAGTGCTTTTCAGTAGTGCTAAATTAAATGTTTCTATAGATTTTCTTTGAAATTCATCAAATGCAGAGGTTTACAATAATTGCTTATAATATTCCAAACAATAAATTACAAAATATGTAGTTTTGGAAAGTAAATATTAAAGATACTGCAAATTACAATTAGAGTTAAGGCAGTCCATATATGGGACGCGGTAGCTCAGTGGCTAAGATGCTGAGCTTGTCGATCAAAATCTTGGCAGTTCAGCAGTTCGAATCCCTAGTGCCGCGTAATGGGGTGAGCTCCCAGTTACTTGTCCGAGCTTCTGCCAACCTAGCAATTCGAAAGCATGTAAAAAATGCAAGTAGAAAAATAGGGACCATCTTTGATGGGAAGGTAACAGCGTTCCGTGCACCTTTGGCGTTGAGTCATGCTGGCCCCATGACCACGGAGAAGTCTTCGGACAGCGCTGGCTCTTTGGCTTTTGAAACGGAGATGAGCACTGCCCCCTAGAGTCAGAAACGACTAGCACATATGGGCGAGGGGAACCTTTACCTTAGTCCATATTTGGATCACAAAAACAAAATCTATTTCAATACTGTATATGTTGATTAAAAATTGTTTCTATGTCTATGGAGATTCTCAATCATTCAGGTTCTGGTAGTCGCAAAGATGCTTTTCCAAAAGGCGATTTGACTTTCTTGAAAATGTTTTACTTCTTATCCAAGAAGCTTCTTCAGTTCTGACTGAATGGTGGGGAATGGTGGGGAATTCCATTCCCCATCATTCAGTCAGAATTGAAGAAGCTTTTTGGATGAGAATGGGCGTTGTACTTACCTGATACGCCCCTTCTCTGTTCTGCTGTCACGGCAGTCAGGCGTGGGTAATAGACAGGTGGCTGACCAATAGGACTACTGGAAGTCAAAGCTCCGCCCTTTCCTGCTTGGCTCCAGTTTTGAGGCGAAGGTGTCCAGTAGACTGACATGTCTATGGAGATATAAAAGAAGAAGTGAAAGAACCACCCTCCCCAGGAGCTCCCTCCTATACCGACCAGGGTGGGGCTGACTGCCGTGACAGCGGAACAGAGAAGGGGCGTATCAGGTAAGTACAACGCCCATTCTCCTATTAGCTATCACGGCAGTCAGGCATGGGACATACCAAAGCACATGTCCTATAGGGAGGGATCCGGTCGAACTCTCTGCAGCACCCTTCTGCCAAAAGCGGCGTCTGCGGAAGCGTAAGTGTCCAACTGGTAATGCTGAATGAAGGGGGTCACCGAAGTACAAGTTGCCGCCCGACAGACCTTGTCCAGGGAAGCCTGGGTGGCCCAAGCCGCTGATGTGGAAGCACTTCTGGTGGAATATGCTGTAATACGATGAGGAACAGGTAAGGATTAAGACTCATATGCCGTGGAGATTGTAGCTCTGAGCCAATGTCCCACCATGGTAGCCGTGACGCGAGACCCCATGGACGAAGGCTGGAAGGAAATGAAGAGGGCTTCGGATCGTCGAAACGACGAGGTGCAGGATATGTAAATCTTTAGAGCTCTGTGCACATCAAGAGTATGCCAGACTTTCTCCAGGTGATGGCGTGGAGAAGGACAAAAGTCTGGAAGGATGAGTTCCTGAGCTCTGTGGAAGGTAGAGTTAACCTTTGGAATGAATGCAGGTTCTAATCGGAGAACCACCCTGTCCTTGTGGAAGACGCAGAAATCGGATCGAATTGAAAGAGAGGTGAGCTCTGATATATGTCTGGTGGAGGTGATCGCCACCAAGAAGGAAACTTTGAAGGATAAAAACTTCAAATTGACGTCCCTGAGAGGTTCGAAAGGTGGTTTGGTGAGGGATGTGAGGACCTTGTTAAGGTCCCAGGTGGGGAACCTGTGAACCACCGGAGGACGGAGGTTGGTAGCACCCCTCAAAAAGGCACGAATAAGAGGTTCCTTGGATAGTGAGGTCTCGGGACCAAAGGCTAATACCGAGGATAAGGCTGCGACTTGGCGGTGTAGAGTGTTGGGTGAAAGCCCAGAGGCGAAACCTTCCTGTAGAAAATCCACAATTTGAACCACCGAAACAGATGAGGCATCCAAATGGTGTTTGGAGCACCAACGAAGAAAGGCCTTCCATGTTGAGTCATAGATACGAACTGTTGTGGGTCGTCGCGCCGCCAGAATAATGGGAATCGCGGCTGGGGACACGTTGGAATTGATCAAACGGAGCCGCTCAACCTCCAGACGGTTATATGATAAGACTGGGGTTCTGGATGAAGACCGTTGCCTTCTCGCAATACGATCTGATTGTCTGGAATCCGCCAAGGAGCAACCACTGAAAGAGATACAAGGTCCGCAAACCAGGGTCTGCCGGGCCAATAAGGGGCAAGAAGGATGAGTTCTGCCTTCTCCTGCAACAGTTTGCGAACCACCTTGGCTATCAGAGGGAGAGGAGGGAATGCGTAAAGTAGAAGACCCCGAGGCCGCGAAGAGCATCCACCGCCTCTGCTGTTGTCGAGGGAAACCGAAAATAAAAGCGAGGTAGTAGGTGGTTGTCGCTGGAGGCGAACAGGTCCACATGAGGGAGGCCGAATTGAAGGGTTATCCAGTGGAAGAGGTGGTGAGGGATGCTCCATTCCGTGGGATCCAGTTGGGAGCGGCTGAGAGCGTCGGCCTGGATGTTGTCCTTCCCTGCAATGTGATCCGCTTGCAATGAGATCAGGTGAATCTCGGCCCACAAACCCAGCCGAAGAGCTTCCTTCATGAGTAATACTGAGCGAGTGCCCCCCTGCTTGTTTATATGTGCTTTGGCCGAGATGTTGTCCGTGAGGACCAACACATCCCGACCCAAGACGCGAGCTTCGAAGCTCAGAAGAGCCAGATAGACTGCTCGAAGCTCTAGGACATTGATGTTGAGGGATCTTTCTTGGGAAGATCACCGACCTTGTGCTGTGCTCGAGCCGAGATGAGCCCCCAGCCGTGGAGACTCACGTCAGTAGTGATGACGATTCGCTGGGGCTCGAGGAACCTTGAACTCTTGGCTACAGCCAGAGACGTCCACCAGGCCAGAGAATCGACCACATATGGAGGAAGCTGGACCCTCAGGGAGTGGGGAGATGATGGGTTCCGTTGGTAGGGCAGCAGCAGCCATTGGAGCTCCCGACTGTGGAGGCGAGACCAAGGAACGATCCCATAAGATGATATCATCTTCCCCAGTAAGGTGGAGAGGTCTGACAAGGAAGCAGCCCTGCGAAGCCGGCAACGACTAGCAAGGGAGGACAACTGCGTTGTCGATCCGGGGACAGGGAGACCTCCACTGTGATTGTGTTGATGACAGCCCCCAAATGCTGAATGTGGTTGGTAGGTACTAAGTGGCTTTTAGCCCAATTTATGGAAAAGCCATGGGTTTGTAAAATCGCAATGGTCTTATTGACATCTAGCATTGCCTGGGTCGGAGAAGAGGACAGGATGAGGATATCATCCAGGTAAAACATGGTTCTGATTGGTATAGAAGAAATATGAGCTATAAGGGAGGCCATGACTTTAGTAAAAACCCTTGGCACGGAAGGAAGGCCAAAGGGTAGGGCAGTATACTGAAAATGGCGTCCATTATGGTAAAAACGAAGGAATTTGTGATGGGCAGGCCGAATTGGAATATGGAGGTAAGCCTCCATCAAATCAATAGATGCCATTAAATCCCCTTGTCTGATACTCAGGAGAATGGTGTGAAGGGATTGCATCTTAAACTGGCGATAAACGAAGTGCCGGTTTAAGGACTTTAAATTAAGAATTGCTCTCCAATCCCCGAAGCTTTGGGGACTAGAAAGAGACGGGAATAGAAACCATCGCCCCTCTCGTTGAGGGGCACAGGCTGAATGGCTTTGATATCCAAAAGGTGTTGGATGGCCGAATTAAGACGGGCAGTTTTGATGTGATCTCGAGAAGAAGGACATCTCAAGAAAAGCTTCGGAGGGGAGGATCGGAATTCAAGCGAAAGGCCGAAACGGATGGTAGACCTGACCCAGGCGTCAGAAACGGACCTATCCCATTGATCTGCAAAAAGGGATAGGCGCCCCCCTAAGAATAGATCGGAAGGAGAGTCAGCAGGACCTCTGGAAGGGACGTTCCCTGCCCCCCAAAAGGGCCGTTTGAAACCAAATCTGGAACCCTGTCTAACCTGGGAGTCCTGTTGATTTGAAGATCTGGCCGAGAAAGAACGCTGTGACCGGTGAGTTGGGAAGACTATGTCTGAACCCCAAAAGGAGGAGGGATGAAAGAAGTGTTGAGGACGATTATCTTGGCGACGATGCAGAGATGGTAACACTTTGCGGTGATCTTTTGTTTCAATCAAGAGAGGGTCAAGTTGAGATCCAAAGAACTTGTCTCTGGCAAAGGGAGAAGACGCCAGGCGCCACTTGCTTCTGATGTCAGCTTGCCAGTTACGGAGCCACAGTAGTCTATGTGATGTAATTGAGGTTCCTATGGCTTTGGCTGAAAAGCGGGCCGCATTGAGAGTGGCGTCTGCGGAGAACTCCACCGCCGCCAGAATCTTATTCAGGTCCTGGTGAGAGCAATGATCCGATGGGGCCAAGCGAGCTTGCAGTTGTCTTAACCAGAGAATCGTGGCTGTTAAAAAAAGATGCCGCTGAGGAAGCTTGCACCGACCAGGCAGAGGCCTGATGGCCTTTGATCAGAGTTCTCTCAGCTTTCTTCTCCTCCGGTCTTAGGCACTCTTCAGGAGGACCTGTGAAGGGGACGGGGAAGACAGAGCCAGAACTGGCGAATCAACAGAAGGGACCTGAAGTAAGGTGGAGAAATCAGGAGCCATGTTATAAAACCGTTTGTCCAAGGTGTTGGGTACAGGTCCGGAACTAGGGAATGACCACTGTCCTGAGGACTACATCGGAAAATAACTTGGGAGCGGGAATAACTTCCTTCTGAACAGAAGGTTCCTGAAACAGAGAGGTAGTAGGATCAGTAGAGGAAGAAGCTGAGTTAGCAGCCGCTGCATTTCCCCCCAAACGGGTAACAGTCTGAGCCTTATAGAGCAAAGAACGGAACATTTGGGGACAGAAGAGGCCAATAAACGAAAAGTTCCTGATCTGCTACAATCTCTCCTTCTGAGAGTGAATCTTGGCTGGCCGAATCCGCGGCCTCGCAAACCTCCCTGGTCTCCTCCACTTCATCCTGCAAGGATGAGGTTCTAGAACGATGATGAGCACTAGAAAGAGCAGAAGCCTCTGATGGAGGTCTTTGCTGGAGACCTTGGGCAATACCCTGGCGTATAGCATCAGAGATCAGTACAGCCAAGGCTGGGGGAATATCAGAAAGGGCATGAGAGCCTTGGTTGACTACCCGCACAGTCGGTTCCTGTGGAGGGGCTGGTTCAGAAACTGCAGAAAACCGGAGGATCATTAGTAATAGGGAAAACCGAATCAGCTTCAGTATCATGAATGAGTTCTTCAACATCAGATCTGTCCGGAGATAAAACAGGGGCAGGTCGTTGCAAATTGGAAGTACTAGCAATGGATTTGGCTGTGGAAGGCAAATTAGGGGACACCTCAGGCGGCTAGGACAGGGTTCTAGACCTGAAGAGGCTTGGGCCTTGTAGAATGCCTTCTCAATCGCCTTATGGCGCCTTTCCTCTTCCCGTGATGGCTTAGTGGCTAAGGGACGAGAAGAAGCAGTGGAGCCAGTAGCTCTGGATTTAGAAGGAGGGTGCTTGGATGACCCTTCCAGAGGATCCTCTTCTTCTCTGGGTCTTTTCCCTTTATTTTGGGCCCGGCGGGAGGAGCGCGATTTAGCTGCATCCACCATTTTGAGCTTTGAGCCACGAGGTCTATCCCAAACCGCAGGGCGAGATAGGGCGCAGAAAAGGCTATCGGGGCTGCCAGATACTTGCAATTGAAGGCGATGTCCCTGCGCTTGAATTCTGAGCCCCAATTTGAGGTCGCTAACCTGTTGGCTAGGAGCGACCAAAAGGTGCGGAAATCGCGTCGCGCCAAACCGCTGCTGAGCTGGAAGGCTCCTTGGTGCAGCCGCGCACCACCGATGAAACGAAGGCGGGCTGTCCCGGTAACAGGCCCTCCAAACAAACAGAAGGGACCAGGGCTCTGCTTAAAATCCTCCGCCGTCGGAGAGACAGGCGGGAAAGCCGGGCAGCGCGGCCCAGCGAACTCGTGCGCGCACTGAATAAAGCTGCCAACTGGCAGACTAGAAGGCAAGCGACCAAATCCGACAAGGAGAAAAACGAAGAATAGTCAAGTCCGTTCCTAAGTCCAATTAACAATTTTAAGCGATTAGCAATGAGCACTCTATAGACACGGCTGTCCTGGCAGACCGAGTCGAAAAACTGGAGCCAAGCAGGAAAGGGCGGAGCTTTGACTTCCAGTAGACTCGATCCTATTGGTCAGCCACCTGTCTATTACCCATGCCTGACTGCCGTGACAGCTAATAGGAGAAGGAAAACTTTTTCAATAAAAGAGAGGAAAAACCAAGAAAGTCCAGTTGCCTTTTGGAAAAGCATTTTGGGGACAAATTGTTTGTGTTTTGCAGATTTGAAATAAATAAGACTTTTTTCTAAGGGGTGGAAAAAGTGGGGGCTTCTAGATGAGGCTAAATTATAATTCTTAGGAACATCAACAAACTTTATTCTCCAGTCTTCCTTAAAGTGATTAAAAATGACCTTGCAATATTATCATATTTCAATTTAAGTGATGTTATCTCAAAATTTGGGCCCACTGCCAGCTTTACTTACACAGGGAATCAGAAAAAACTGCACATTTTGGGAACAGGAGTCCTCTGATTAATTATACTCTGAATTACTTTTGATCTTAATTAGAACATAGAAATAACAGAGGTGGAAGGGACCTTGGAGGTCTTCTAGTTCAATGCCCTGTCAAACAGAAGGCCTTATATCTTATTCATTTGCTTCACAGATTCACCACATATATCAACAGGGACCAAGAAACCCTTCATTCTTTCCATTTTCTACTTGCCTGAAAAAGCTATTCTGTCATTAGTGCTTTTCAGACCCCCCCCCCACAAATCCTGCATGCACATGTGACCCCCCGTCCCGTTTTGGGACTAGCAGGCCTCCCTGCAGCCTCCTGGGCCCAAAAATGGACCATGGGGGGGCACCACCCCCCGTGCTCCCTCCCACCCCGTGCATGTGCGTGTGAACCTCCTTGCGCATGCGTGCGCGTCTCCCACATGAGCCCCGCCCTCTGCGCATTCCAAAAATCAGCTAGCCAACAAGAGGCACGTGTGTGCATGTGTGGTGGAGCTGAGCTAGGCTCGTGTGCCCGCAGACAGAGCTCTGCGTGCCAGCTGTGGCATGCGTGCCATTGGTTCGCCATCACTGATATATAATGTGGTATGCAAAAGGCAGAAGTTTCTCCTAATACAATCTGTAAGTGTTCAGGGTAAGGCATCCACCAAAAGCAGAACTCTGAGGTGGGTAGATTCCTCAAAAAACATATTTGTTGGATACATCATATCAGCATAGTCTGTAAAAATCAACTTTCCCCCTAATTAAAAGAACAATTGTCCTCCTCCCAAGTGTCACTGGTCACATTGTCTAATGAGCATAGCCAGCTGGCTACTTGGTCACTTCCTCTTTTCCTTCAACTGCCACCTGTTGAGATGACCTTGGTTCCCACAACAGTTTTGACTGTTAGCCAGTCTATTTATTTCCCCCTCTTGGGGTTCATGGCAACTATATGGCAGCAAAAGACGACTTCAGCCAGGTTCGCTTCAGAGTTGACAGTTAGACCATCCCCCTTAACTCAAGAGAAGTTTCTGGAAAATTCAAAGAGAAAATGATTAGTCTTCCATCAGCCCTTCTCCCACCCCCCAGATGTTCCTTTGGCTTTTGAGGGAATTTCTTAGTCAATCTATCTGCTTTTACATCCCAACGTTTTCTCCAGGTGGCCCCGGATA